GTTCAAACCCACCAGCCACTCACTCCTCGGAAGGAAGATGGGGCAATCTCCTTCTGTAATGATACTGCCTCGGAAACCCAAGGAGGGGTCACTATAAGTCGGGTCAACCAGACGGTACATAACAACAACAACAACAACAGATTGCATCCCCAAGTATGCTAAACATATGCTAAAGTTACAAATAGCATTCTTTACAAAACTTAAGTCATAGTTCTGCACATAAATGCTATACAGTTTAAAAGTACCTTGATTTAGTTCATTGCAGTGGTCCACTTACTTGAGTTCCCTCACTTCTGTGCATTATCTGGACTGGAGTTCCCACTGGTTGTTTTACCAGCGTGTTGTCAGCATCTCCTAAGGCAGCTTGCCTCCCAGTGCACACTCCATTAGCCCACCCTGCCCCCACACTAGAAAGCTGTGGCACGTGGGCGACCTGAATGTGTCCTGTAGTCTCTTCCTCACTCTGAACATCTCCCTCCTTCACACACACACACACACACACACACTCAAGGGAATCCTGGGTCCCAGTGGGCTCAGGGACATTAAGATGCACACAGTCCAGTAACAAATATTCGTTGAGTACTTACTGTGTGCCTATAACACTCTTCTAAGCTTCAGGGATACAGAAAACAGATACACAAGGAACTGACTCCATCCGGGGAGATCCACCCTAAACAAGCTCGCAAAGAAATGCCCAGGAAAGCCACCAGTCACTGCCTAGTGTTGTGAGGATGATACAGTCACGGCACAGCGAGCGCTGTGGGGGAGGGCACCGAGAAGCCAGCAGAGGAGCCATCCTCTGGTCTGGGCCGCGCACAGTCTTCAAGAGCAACAGGTGAGGAGGCTGCTGCTGGCCGTCAGATCGCACAGAGCCAGTCAGCAGCAAGCTGAGCAAATCTTTGTTCCATGTCCTCTGAAGAGGGTCTAGACAAGAAGGATAGAGTGCTAAGACGCTAATGGGGCGCTGCCCCATTCCCAAGGTGCCTTCTCACTTCTCTTTGCGACCTCACCTGGGAGCCCGTCTTGGAGGCGAGATTTCTCTCTCAGGCCCTCTGTAGGCCACCCCAAGACCCTTGGGGTTGAACTGGAAACCACGTAGGGTGCGCGCCTTCCTGGAGTTAGAGGACGTGCCCCACGGAATGCCTGGGCCTGCTCCGCCGCTTGCGCGTCCTCTCCTCCCAACTACCTGGGAAACTGGCCATGGGAAGTCGTTCAGATACCCCTTCCTCCCTTGTGCCAAGGACACTGCTGAGACTAGCGGAGGTCGCCAGGGGAGAGTGAGGGCAGGAAGTCTGCGGGGCAACTAGAGGGTCCCGGGACGCAGGGGAGCGATGGGGTGCAACAGGTGGGTG